AACTAAATCAAGCTTCTGCAGCGTCTTAGGTTTAAGATTACTGAGCACGTGCAGAAGCCTGTTTTGTCCACCCAGCAGGGCTGGTCTTTACTTAAAACCTCCATTATTCAGGCATTGTACACCGGAGCAGGTGAGCATAGGGATTGGGGAACTTTCTGGAAGTAAGTCCCTCCCTCCCCCTCCCCAAACAGACAACTCGCTTTGGATTGTGTCTTCTCTGCCTTTATCAATTTCCAAAGTGCTAAGTCTGTTTGGGCTGCCCACTGAGCCTGAATTTGGGGGGGGGGGCTGGAGGGCAATGCAAGGGGAAGAAAAGGGACTGGGAATAGGGAAGAGGGAGAAGGCTGCAGGCCTGGAGATTGTCTGAAGGAGAGATTTTTGCTCCTGATAATAATAATAATAATAATGCTATTAAATTCTAATACCTATTGGATACGGTGGGAGTATTGATTTTGGGTTAGCCATGGTACTGCCCTCCCCTCAGACTAAAATATAGACAAGCAAGGTCAAAAAAAGGGGGGAGGGAGAAACGACTTAGGATGGAAATCCGCTTCCTCCCCAAGAGGGGGTTTTCTGAGTGGCAACAGGGCATACAACGGAACCAGTGCAGCTCAACTGGGGTGAGGTGTGTTCCAACTGGTGAGTTGGGTTCCTCCCTCTCCAGCTGCAGAGGAGCCCCACTCAGGGGCTGGGGAATTATGGGAACTTGTCAGGCACAATAGACCAGGTCCACACATGAAGGTGAGGACAGCAGGGCCTGGAGGAACGTTGTCCATGGGGTCGCGATGGGTCGGACACGACTTCGCAGTTAACAACAACATGAAGGTTTCATTTAACTGATTTATTACCAACAGCTGATACACAGGAATCTTCTCAAGTAAGGCCAGCATTTGGTGAGAGTTAAATAAGAGTCAGTGGCGCTAAAGGGGAGTTGGACTGAATCCCTTTGTGACTACGTAACGATTCCAGGCTAATCCCTCTTTTCACCCCTCCCTTGGCTATGCCAGTCCTTTACACAGTTGTTCGAGACGATGTTAACTCCCAAATAACAACACAGTTTGTGGTGGGAGGGAGGGAGGAAGGAGGGAGGGAGGGAGAGGCCAATGGATTCTCCACCTTTTTCCTTGCACTGATATTGAGGCCCAGCATCACAGTGTGAAATGAACTACAAGGTGTGCTTTTCACTTTAGATCTGCGAAATGTGCGACATAATTCAGTTTGGACAGGGGAAGACAAAACAGGGGGTTCCACACACTTGGACAGGAGGGAGGATGGCTGAAAACACAACTACAGGCCCAAAACATTCTCAGGAGGCGGGGGGGGGCTGCATTCATTTGGCCTGGGTGGGATAGGGGATTCATTCCCTGCTTGGAAAGAAGCTCAGAAGAACCGTGGGCACCTCTCAAGGTAAGTGGGGGATGTTGTGTGGTTTCCAAGTAGGAGAGAAAGACCAACAAAGCCGAGACAGGCCAAGAAGAGACGGGCAGGCCATGGGGAGACAGGCCAAGAGGAGACGGGCAAGGCGGAGATAGGCCAAGGGGAGACGGGCAGGGCGGAGACAGGCCAAGGGGAGACGGGCAGGGCGGAGACAGGCCAAGGGGAGACGGGCAGGGCAGAGACAAGCCAAGGGGAGACAGGCAGGGCAGAGACAGGCCAAGGGGAGACGGGCAGGGCAGAGACAGGCCAAGGGGAGAAGGGCAGGGCGGAGACAGGCCAAGGGGAGACGGGCAGGGCAGAGATAGGCCAAGGGGAGACGGGCAGGGCAGAGACAGGCCAAGGGGAGACGGGCAGGGCGGAGACAGGCCAAGGGAGACGGGCAGGGCAGAGACAGGCCAAGGGGAGACGGGCACGGCAAGAGACAGGCGAAGGGGAGAAGGGCAGGGCGGAGACAGGCCAAGGGAGATGGGCCAAGGGGAGACGGGCAGGCCAAGGAGAGACGGGCAGGGCAGAGACAAGCCAAGGGGAGACGGGCAGGGCAGAGACAGGCCAAGGGGAGACGGGCAGGGCAGAGACAGGCCAAGGAGAGAAGGGCAGGGCAGAGATAGGCCAAGGGGAGACGGGCAGGGCAGAGACAGGCCAAGGAGAGAAGGGCACGGCAGAGACAGGCCATGGGGAGACGGGCAAGGCGGAGATAGGCCAAGGGGAGACGGGCAGAGCAGAGACAGGCCAAGGGGAGAAGGGCAGGGCGGAGACAGGCCAAGGGGAGATGGGCCAAGGGGAGACGGGCAGGCCAAGGAGAGAAGGGCAGGGCAGAGACAGGCCAAGGGGAGAAGGGCAGAGCGGAGACAAGCCAAGGGGAGATGGGCAGGGCAGAAACAGGCCAAGGGGAGATGGGCACGGCAGAGACAGGCCAAGGGGAGACGGGCAGGGCGGAGACAGGCCAAGGAGAGAAGGGCAGAGCGGAGACAGACCAAGCGGAGACGGGCAGAGCGGAGACAGACCAAGCGGAGACAGGCAGAGCGGAGACAAGCCAAGGGGAGACGGGCAGGGCAGAGACAGACCAAGGGGAGATGGGCAGGGCAGAGACAGGCCAAGGGGAGACGGGCAGGGCAGAGACAGGCCAAGGGGAGAAGGGCAGAGCGGAGACAGGCCAAGGAGAGACAGGCCAAGGGGAGACGGGCAGGGCGGAGACAGGCCAAGGGGAGACGGGCAGGGCAGAGACAGGCCAAGGGCAGGGCAGAGACAGGCCAAAGGGAGAAGGGCAGAGCGGAGACAGGCCAAGGGGAGATGGGCAGGGCAGAGACAGACCAAGGGGAGATGGGCAGGGCAGAGACAGGCCAAGGGGAGACAGGCAAGGCGGAGACAGGCCAAGGAGAGAAGGGCAGGGCAGAGACAGACCAAGCGGAGACGGGCAGGGCAGAGACAGACCAAGGGGAGACGGGCCAAGGGGAGACGGGCAGGGCAGAGACAGGCCAAGGGGAGATGGGCCAAGGGGAGACGGGCAGGCCAAGGAGAGAAGGGCAGGGCAGAGACAGGCCAAGGGGAGAAGGGCAGAGCGGAGACAGGCCAAGGGGAGACGGGCAGGGCAGAGACAGGCCAAGGGGAGACGGGCAGGGCAGAGATAGGCCAAGGGGAGACGGGCAGGGCGGAGACAGGCCAAGGGGATATGGGCAAGGCGGAGACAGGCCAAGGAGAGAAGGGCAGGGCAGAGACAGACCAAGCAGAGACGGGCAGGGCAGAGACAGACCAAGGGGAGACGGGCAGGGCAGAGACAGACCAAGGGGAGACGGGCCAAGGGGAGACGGGCAGGCCAAGGAGAGAAGGGCAGGGCAGAGACAGGCCAAGGGGAGACGGGCAGGGCAGAGACAGGCCAAGGGGAGACGGGCCATGTTTAGCGGGAGGGAGGAGGGGAAAGGGGTTGGAGATAGGAGGAGGGGTTAGGGAGTATGGGGTAAAGGGCAGTGGGGTTAGAGGAGTACCGGTAGGGTTACGGATAGAGGGTGGGATTGGGGAATAGGGAGAGAGGTCAGGAGTGGAAACCCAAACCCCCACCACGCCTTTTGAAAAAGCACCTTAGATGACTGACTTCCTCCATAGGGGAGTGGGACAGTTGGGTGGCTTCAGGGGAGGTACCTGAGGGGGGGATTTAGGAATGGGGAAGGAGGGGGTGAGGACGAGGTGTTAGATGAGGAGACAGGGGAAGGGAGGTGTGGGGTTAGGAAGAATGGGATGGATTAGGCAATAGGCAGAAAGGTTTGGGAATGGTGTTTGGGGAGAGGACAAAGAATTGGGAGTAAGAAAGGGAGTTAGAGACTAGGCAGGGGGAAGGTGGAGGACATGTTGTATGGAGAGGGTTTGTTTTGAGTAAGATAGGGGAGGGTGAAGGAGTAGAGTGGGGAAGGAGTTGGCTAGGGGAAGGAGGAAGGAATTGAACGAGGAGTGTATGAGTAGGATGGGGAGGGGAAGGAGTTGAATTGGGGAGGAGTTGGATAGGGAGGTGGAAGGAGTTGAAGGTGGAGGGGGAAGGAGTTGAAGGGGGAAGGAGTTGGATAGGGGAGGGGAAGGAGTTGAAGGTGGAGGGGGAAGGAGTTGAATGGGGAAGGAATAGGGAGGAGGAAGGAGTTGGATGGGGGAGGAGGAAGGAGTTGAATGGGGGAGGAGTTGGATGGGGAGGGGGAAGGAGTTGGATGGGGGAGGAGTTGGATAGGGGAGGGGGAAGAATTGAATGGGGAAGGAGTTGAATGGCGAAGGGGAAGGAGTTGGATGGGGAGGAGTTGGATAGGGGAGGGGGAAGGAGTTGGATGGGGAGATGAGGGAAGGGGGAGAATTGTATATGGAGGGTGTGTGTTTGAGTTGGATGAGGAGGGGGAAGGGGTTGAATGGAGATGGGGTTGGATAGGGGAGGAGAGGTGGGAAGAAGGGCAAAGGGAAAGGGAGGGAGGGAAGGAAGGGAGGGAGGGAGGGGAAGAGGATGGGAGGGAGAAAGGAAGGGTAATGGAAAGAAGGAAGGAAAGTTGGAGGGAAGGGGGGAGAGCTGTGGAAAGGGAAGCAAGAGAGGGAAAGGGGGGGAAGAATGGAGAGAAGGAGGGAAATGCAAGGGAGGAAGACAGTGAAAGAGGAAGGCAAGGGAGGGAGGGAGGGAGGATAAGTGGTGAAATGATCAAGGGAGTGGAAGGAAGGAAAGGAAGGAAGGACAGGCAAAGAGGGAAGGGAGGGAAGGCAACTGGGGGGGGAAGAGAGGGAGGGAAAGAGGAATGATGGGAAGGGGAAGGGAAGGAAGGAAGGAGAAAGCCTAGCCCCCTCCCCATCCCCAGAGCAGGTTTTCCTGCCATGGAGCTGGGCTGGGCACTCAAGTGTTTTTCCTTAAGGGGTGGGGTGGAGGGGGGGGCTCCCGATTGGAACAACCGCTGTTCCTCTTCAGGCTGCCGTTCACCAGGTTCTTCGTGTCCGCCTGGGCTTCAGCTTGTCTCGGGGGATCCGTGGCGGCCATCATCTCCCCCGCCCCGACACTCACCCTAACCCACTCACCCTTCTGCCCTCCCTCTGCCCCCTCCCTGCAGGTGATGAGCATCCTGAGCAACCCCAGCGGAGTGCCCCCCCAGTCCCAGGCCGACTTCTCCCTCTCCCCCCTGCACGGCAGCCTGGAGAGTGCCAACGCCATCTCGGCCAGCTGCAGCCAGCGAAGCGACTCCATCAAGTCCGTGGACAGCCTGCCCACTTCCCAGGCCTACTGCCCTCCCACCTACACCACCACGGGCTACAGCGTGGATCCCGTGGCCGGCTACCAGTACGGTCAGTACGGCCAGAGTGAGTATCCTTCTGTCTTTGGCTCTCTCTCCCCCCCCCTCCGGGAAAGAGGGAACGCCTGGCGGGTTTCACCCCTTGGTGGTGGGAGGGGGGCTGCACTCCTGCTTAATGGGCCTCCCCAGAAACGCCAAGGATGGGGGGCTCTGCCGGTGGCCTTTGGCACCCCCAAATCCCAGCCCTGTGGGGGAGTGGGGTCCTCTGAACCAAAGGGCTGGCCTTGCCTACTTTGGGGAGGGGGAGATGCCTTTGACACCTCCCCCCCCAGTATCTATGGAGATTCTCATTCATCCGTCAGGGGTCTTCAAACTCGGCCCTTTTATGACTGGTGGACTCCAGGGTTGGCTGAGGAATTCTGGGAGTTGAAGTCCACCAGTCATAAAATGGCCGAGTTTGAAGACCCCTGATCCAGGTCCTGGTGGTCCCAAAAGTGCTTTTTCACCTTTGGACTTTTGAGTTTTTCTTGAAGACGTTTCGCTTTCTTATCCAGGAGGCTTCTTCAGTTCTGACTGAATGGTGGCATGGATTCATTCAGAACTGAAAGAAGCCTCCTGGATAAGAAAGCGAAACATCTTCAAGGAAAAAAACAAAGATTGGATACCCGCCTCCTTCTTCTTCTTCCCAAGAGGAGACCCTGCCTTGCGTTCAGGGGCTCTGAAGCTCTGAGGTGGGTGGGGGGCAACCCCTAAGGACCCCCTGGGCCAGGCAGTGAGTGCCCCAGGCCCCTTCTACAGCCATCGGTGGCTCGGCTCCCCTTTTCCCATCCCGGGATCCCCCAGATCCCTTGGTCCTGGAGCTGCCCTGGTCTTTGACCTGGTGGTGTTTGGGGCATCCCCGTTTCCCCTCCCCTGGGGGCCCCCCCAATTGACCTCTGGGTCCCCCTTTTCCTTTTAACACTCTTCCCTTCCCCAAATGAGAAACGGCTGCCTGCGAGGGAGGGGGATGTGAACGCTCCCTCACCTCTTCTTTCCCCCCCTCCCCATTTCTCTCTGGGGAAGAAGCCCCCTCCCCAAAGTTTGGCCTATAACCCCCCCCCCTCGACCTTCCTCTCGCTTCTGGTGGTGAAACCCAGCCACAGATGGAAGTGATAAAAATCTTAAACAAATTCCAGGGCAGGGAGATGCCCTGCGGGCCCAGGGTTAGTCACACACACACACACACACACACACACACACACACACACACACACACACACACACACACACACATTGTAGATGGGCCTGTCTTTGTGTTATGCACGTTGTGTGTTTGTGCACGGCTAAGGACAGGAGGGAAAAATAACCCCAGAAAAAAGAGGAAATGCATTTGGAGAGGGGGGGGCAGATCTTTGGATAAGGGGAAGCGACCTGCCTCATCCGCTGGCCTCGCCCCTCCCAAGCTGGCAGAAGAATTTAGCAAAGGCAGCACCCGGCAAAATCTGATTTAAACCCGGAGGGGCTGGGATGCCCTGCCAGCCTCGGCTTTGGGCCCCTGGGGCCGCGTGGCTCACCCTCAGGAGTTGAAGAAGCTGCCCTCCCAAGGGGGCTCTGAACCGGTAGGCTCCTCTTCCCTGAGTCTCCGTCAGCAGGCAGCCAGACTTTGGCTGGGTGGACTTAAAATCTGTCCTTTTCTGCTCAGCCTTTTTTTTTTTTTGCCAGCCATGAGCCCAAGCTTGAAGCTTTACAGAATAGAATAGAATAGAATAGAATAGAATAGAATAGAATAGAATAGAATAGAATAGAATAGAATAGAATAGAGGAATAAAGAGTAGAGTAGAATAATTAGAATAGAATAGAATAGAATAGAATAGAATAGAATAGAATAGAATAGAATAGAATAGAGCTGGAAGGGACCTTGGAAGTCTTCTAGTCCAGCCCCCTGCTCAAGCAGGAGGACCTATGCTATCTCAGACAAGTGACTGTCTAGCCCAGTGGTTCTCAACCTTTTTAATGGCGCGACCCCAACCGGTCGTAAGTCGAGGACTACTCAACGGGTGCAGCACCGTTTGCAGACTGGGACTTTGGGCGGGCTCAGCAGGGCAGAGACAGCCTGGACAATTCCTATTGGCTTTGGAAAGCCAATAGAATTAGACTCTATTCAAGAGAATCTATTCTATTGGCTTCCAAAAGCCAGTAGAATAAAAGGGAGTAGCACAGCTAAGGAAAAGGGGAAAAAAATGGCGGACTGCGTTGTTTGGCAACCCCCGTGAAATGGTCGTTCGACCTCAAATGGGGTCCCAACCCACAGGTTGAGAACCACTGTTCTAGCCTCTTCTTAAAAACTTCCAGTGTTGGAGCATTTACTGCTTCTGGAAGCAGGCTGTTCCACTGATTAATTGTTCTCACTGTCAGGAAGTTTCTCCTTAATTCCAGGTTGCTTCTCTCCTGGATCAGATCTTTGATCTCTTTAATGACATCCCAAGCCCACCCTCCTTCCCGGCCCTGTGCCTTCTCTGTGCCCACCGTTGCCCACCTCCTTGGTCCTGACTCGCCGAGGACGAGTGCCAGCCTGGAGAGTTTAGCTGGTCCCAGAGGCCAAAAAGCTACACTAATGATGGCGCTTATGGAACGCCGAGGCGTGAAAAAAATTCCTAATGGATGTGACAAGTCTAATAAGAATTTTTGCTTGGAAGGGACCCCCCTTTGGGGAAGGCTGCTGACAGGACGCTGACGGCTGAAATTTGTTTACTTGCTGGCACCAAGTGGGGCTCTCTGCGCAATTCTTATTAATCTAATTTGAGACTGAAGAATTGCGGGCGTGTGTGTGTGTGTGTGAGGGGGGCGTGGGGAACATGCAAAAAAATATTTTGACTGAAGCTCAGCTAACAGGGAGTGTCACCGTTGGGTTCCTGGGTGCCCAGGCAAAATAAATGCAAAAAAATACATTTATTTTGGCCCGCCGTCGAGAGCGCAAGGGGTTCGCGCTCCCTAGCAGAAAACAAGTCAGTCGTTTCAAATATTTGAAATCCTATCGTTAGTTTGATCCGCGCTTCCTCGAATCGTGAATTTAGCACTGAATGCAACTGTGGTTTTTATGCCAGGCCAGCTACCAAATCTCTTTATGTTTAATTAATTCAGGTTTTTCTAACACCCTTACAATATTTATCTGGGGGGGGGAATGAAAATAAACTTCTAAGGCATAGGAGTCCACTCTTGGGAACTTTAAGACTTGTGGATTTGTCCCCAAGGGTGGATACCCCTGTTCTAAAAGATTGGAAGCTGGAATCAGACTGCTTATTACCTCTCTTATAAAGATAACATGAAGTGTGAATTCCAACTTTGGCAATCTTTTTCTCCCTTAGCAGATTATAGCTAGCAAGTCCTATTGCACCAGAGGGACGTGGGGAAGCGGGAAGGCACCTGTTGCAAGGTTCACCTGTACATCGCCTTATTTTTCTCTCTCCCTTTCCTTTGCCCCTGCTAGCTGCCGTGGACTACCTGACCAAGAACGTCAGCTTGTCCACACAGCGCCGGATGAAACTCGGGGAACATTCAGCCGTGCTGGGGCTTCTACCGGTCGAAACAGGCCAGGCCTACTGAAGGCTCCTTCCTGGGGTCCTCCCACCGCCAATCTCTGCCACCAAGGAAGCAAAATGGGAAAAAAACAACAAAAAAACCCTACTATAACCACCAAACTTTCTTGGACCAGCCTCCATCCACCACCGGCTTTTTCCTTCGGAGACTCACAAGGACCAAACCCTTCCCAAGGTTGCCTCCATCCCAGAGGCCCACTGATTCCCCCCCCTGCCCCCCAATCCTTGTTCTGTGTCCCTGCGAAGACTAATGGCCGTGTTCCCCAACTCCAGAGACGCTGAGTTTGTCAAGGACTTTTCTCAAGTGGGACCTCGGTGGCCGAGGTGGTGTCCTCCCAACACTCCAGATGTTTCCATCGTTGTGACTGCTTGGCAGAGTCAACCTGGAAGCTGTTAGCTTCGTCCTTATATAGCTAGATAGATACCGATATATTCTTTGGCTGCCCTCCCACCCGTGTGCCCCCCCATCCCCATCATTTTTATTATAATACATGATCAATAATACACGGAAGAAGTCCGCCGATCCAAGGACCACGGGCGGGAGGGGGGGGAGGGCTGCTTTGGACCAAATACACACAGTGTCAAGAAGCAAGATTGAAAAAGCTAACCACACACTTGATCCTGGTTGGAAGCGGAGAGAGAGTTGCTATGTCTTGTAAATACGTTCATCTCTGCTCCGGGGGAAGGAAGTCGGGTGGGGAGTGGATCTGGCAGATCCCAAAAAAACTCTGGGTTCCATCTTGAGTCATCTTTGCAAGGGCCACCTCCGGGTGCCTCAAAAGAGTGCGGATCCAGGCTCGTGTCCAGAGGCCTCTGCTTTGGGGGAGTGACTGGTTCCCACTGTTTGGAAGCCCCCCCTGTTCAAGAGGAGAAAATTGGGGAGAGGGGATTAGGGAAGGCAGAAAAGTGGCATTCGCATCCCCCCCCCCCGTGACTTGAGTTGGTAGCAGGTGGCATCTTATCTCTGGAGGCTTGTTGGTGTGCAAAACATCTCCAAAATGGCATTTTTTTTCTCCCAGCCATTTGCCCATCCCTTGGAAATAAGAGGTGACCCAAAGGCTGACCGGGTTCCTGCCTGCTGCAAGACCACTAACCCAGATTGAGAAGGACAGCTTGGAGGAACAAGCCCCGGCTTCAGACGCTCACCCAGCAGGGAACCATGGGTTCCAGGGTGCATCTGTGATGGCCCTGGGGCACACCTCAGCGCCTGTCCGCTCCCACCCACTTCCGTGGCATTTTCTAACCAGCACGTTGCCACTTCCTTCTTTTAAAACCCTAATTGTCTATTGCACTCTAAAATTGAGAGGTGGCAAAGTGGGCAGAGAATGATAAAAAGACTGGGTTACAAACAAACCTGGAAAACCTTCCCAAGCCAGCATCCCACCTGCTCTTAGCTCCTCGTTGGGGGCCTGTAGAGAAATTAAGTGCTTTGGCTACACGTCCAGCCTGTATTGCTCAAGGGAATCTGATTTTTTCAAGATTTTAGGCCTTTGGATAGATTCCTCTTCGTAGAGGCAAGTAACGTTTACGGTTTCAACAAGGGGCATCGTGACCTCCTGGTCCAGCTCCTCCGTACCCACAGCTGGCCTTTGAGGATGACCCAGGCTCATTCTGCATTCCCATGTTTTCTAGATCCTAAATAGATCTAGAAAATAGATCCTAAATCGAACACCTGGAGTGTCAAATATAGCCTGGCAGAGTTAAGTGTGGGCAGGGTGGGTGCTGGCTGACCAGGGAGTGACAATTTTTCTTTTTTTGGGGAAAAAAAAAACAACAAAACTCGTAGCCCAAACTAGCCAACGTAACAAACACGAAGGAAATCAGGCTAGTCCTAGTTGCCATTTCTCTTTGCCTAAAGTGTACAAGCATTTAAACCACCGGTGTACAATAACTGCAGCTATGAAAAATAAAAACAGAACCACAGAGCGGCTGATCTACCAAAATGTTCTCCTTGATCACATCTACTGGAAGGAAACAAACTTGTCCTGATTTTTACTTTATTATTAACACCCACATGCTGTGCTTTTTTTTTTTTAAATAACACACGTATAAGGAGTAGAAGTATATAGAAATACGCATACGTTAGAGTAATGGCTTTGGAGGCAGAGAAGCGCAAGAGTTTTTTACGTTACCGTTTGCTTTTAAAACACTTCGGCCATGCTTCCGCAACGTTTGTTAAAGACAGGGAGACTGTTAGCTGCTTCTGCTTTTTTTTTTAAAAGATGCATTTTAAAATTATTAGTGAAAAGAGAAAAAAAGGAGGTGGGCCATTGCTTTGAGCAGGATTTTTCTTGCAGATTTCTGGGCTGTGTCTACGCAGCGGCCTTCACTCCATCCTTGTGAGTTTTCCCAGTATGGGCCATAAGGTAACCAAGAGTTTTTTTATGACTCTTAAAAAAAAAAAAAACAGTTTTGCCCCACTGGGCCAGTTCAGTGGGTCAACACAGCTCTTTTCAAGAAAACCCAAGGAAATCACTGCAATTGAGCAAAAGCCATCAAAGTGGGTTCCTCCATTTTTCTTTCTTTACTGTTTTTGGTTTTGTTTTGCTTATCTTCTGGGACTTGGGAAGAAGTGGAAAACAAGCCAGCCCTTCCCATTTTTAGGAGATGCCCCTCTCCTCTGGCTGCGCCCCGACTTTTCTCAAGCCTCCTCAAGGACTATCCTGGCTTCACTTGACTTTTGACTCGGATCTCACCACAGCTCTGTCGCTCACGAGCAAAATTGCACACGAATAGCCATCGCCAAAATATTTGGCAAACTTTCCTATCCAAATCGCATCTCTCCAATCAAACCCTGTTCTTAAGAATCAAGGCAACGGCGGCCACACAAATCCAAGTCTGATGATCATTCCAGGAACTCAGTTTGCGTCTTCCCCGCCCCCCCCCCAAAAAAAAACCTGGTCCGAAAATACAGGTGCACCACCAACTCATTCCCTGGCCCACTTCTTTTCAAGGGGGGGGAGAAAAATAGATCTGCCCCACCGTAAAAGCTTTGAAAGGAGAAACTGGGAACACTTCCACTGTCCCCCGATCATCTCCCCAAAGTGTCATTCCAAGAATTGTTGTGTATTTTTTATTTTTTTCTATATCCCCACGGACCCCAAAATCGTTGGGGAGGGGGGGGCTGAGACACGTATCGCTGAGGACATTTTGTGTATTTAATGTTTCTAATTTTCCAGCCCTAACAACAACATATACCCAAGCTATTACCCCTAGCACATGCCTTTATTAGTAGTAATTGCTGATTCGTTGCTTCTGTGTTCAAGTCCATAGCTAATTTTGCTCCACGTGTATGCTTGTGGCCGGGCAAGGGTGCGAAAGAAGGCGGAGGTGTGCGTGTGCACGTGTGTCAGTAAGCATGAGTATTAATCGCCCCCATAATTTATTCAGCTATATGGAATAGTAGAATAGAGAAACAAAAACTGATATTGCTCTAATCCTCAGCTGCCTGTGGTGTCCTTCTATGTAACTCAGGCATAACTGTTATACATTAAAAAAAGGAAAGAAAAAAAGCGAAACCTGGCTTTGGAAGTGTCTTTTTCTCCTCTTCTTTCATCCTTGGGAACACCTGGGAAGAGCACCCCCAGCATCAAAGCTTGGCGAGCAAAAAACAAAAACCCAACACAGCCTGGCAATATTGTTCAACCAATTTGCTAACGCCGGTGCCAATCAGAATAAAATTTGGAGCCGGCCATTTGTGACTTGAGATAACATTTCAGGATGGAAAAGAAATAAGTCTCTCCATTCTGGGACAGTTCATTTAAACAGAAAGAAGTTGATAAGTTCTACAGAAATTGGGTAAATAATAATAATAATAATAATAATACCGGTAATAATAAAGTTGGAAGGGACCTTGGAGGTCATCTAGTCCAACCTCCTGCTCAGGCAGGAAACCTTATACCATTTCGGACAAATGGCTGTCCAGTCTCTTCTTAAAAACTTCCAGTGTTGGAGCCTTCACTGCTTCTGGAGGCAGGTAGTTCCACTGGTTAATTGTTCTCACTGTCAGGAAGTTTCTCCTTAGTTCCAGGTTGCTTTTCTCCTTGGTTAGTTTCCACCCGTTGCTTCTTGTCCTGCCTTCAGGTTTCTTTGGAAAATAGCTTGACTCCCTCTTCTTTGGGGCAGCCCCTGAGATATTGGAAGGCTGCTATCCTGTCACCCCTTCCTTAAACTAGATATACCCAATTCCAGCAACCGTTCCTTGTATGTTTTAACCTCCAGTCGCCTGACCATTTTTGTTGCTCTTCAAAGTTGTACAAACTTGAAAATGTTTTCCTCTCTTTAACAATAATGTGGGGGGAAACGACAAAAGCTTCTCTTGGGGCAGTGGTCGTGCGCTAAGGGAAAATAAAGAAAGAAAGAATTGGGAAGTTGCTAAATGTAAACGAGGGAAAACCGAACCAGAACGGCAATCCAAAATTAGAATTTATGACTATATTTTTTAGGTTGCATTGTCCAAAATGTTGAGGCTGGTGCTCAGTTAGGCACTGCGCGTCTCTGCTTGGGAATTAACATTTAGGATTATTGTTTTTTTACTTGAGCAGTAAGACAGCATCCAGCTTCCCTGATTTTAAACCCCCTCCCCACCCCTAGGGACAAAAAGGGGAGGGGTGAATTTGCAAACCTAACACAACGTTCAGACACAACGTTCTTCCTCACCACCCTAATTCAGGGTGAGAATTTAAGCAAGTTGCCTGGAGACGTGCACACACAAAAAAGCCCCCACCCACCCTAAATAAAATGAAAGTCATTGCCCACCCTGATCAGTTAAGGGGGCTGGAAAAAGTCCTGATTTCACAAACTGCTGGTTTAGGGTCTCCCAGAGGTCATTTAGCCCATCCCTGCCCCTTTGCAGGATGTATGGGTCTCCAGCACTTTAAACTGGACTGTTCAGCCTCTGGCCAATTAGCAAATTCCTTTGGCTGCCCTATTTCTCATTAGGCCCAGCCAAAGGCTGCTTCCTCTCCTTTGAATGACATCCTCGAGGATGGAAAAGGAGTTAAAATGCCAGCCTAACGGGTTTTTTTGCAGTAACATAAGAAAAAATAAAACATCAGCCAGAATCAGAGTTAAATTGCAGTATCTAAATCTTTGGAAGTGCCTCTATTTTAAACGGAGTTAGTTTTGATGCCTGGTGTGTGTCCTTTAAAAATAATATTTTTTTTAAACTATTAAAGGGGAGGTGCTAAAAATGTAAGGAGGTTTGCTTTTTAAATACCAGCATCACATAATCGATTTTTTATACATATAGCAGAGACTGTGGGTCTGCATAATAATAAGGGGTTTCTCACTTTACAGGGGGGAATTTGAAGGGAAGGTGAATTTTGTTCCTGGGGGAATTAAGGTGGTTAAAAAAAATCACCCTTACGAATACTCAATGTGCCATCCGATTACTTGAGACGGCAGTCTGTCCTTTAGCTAATTATCCCCTCTTAAATTTTCTATTAACTAGCTTGTTACAGCATTCTTTTATTCCATATAGAACAATATTTCTCAGACTCAGCAACGTTAAGATGGGTGGACTTCAACTTCCAGAAGAGCTGACTGGGAGCTGAAGTCCACTCATCTTAAAATTGTTGAGGTTCAGAAATACGGCCAGAGGGGGACTTTTAGAATAAGAAACCATTAAAAAGAAAAAAGAAACCCAGTTATTTAAGACAGAATTGGATTACCTCAGAGAAACAAGAGAACTGCTCTGCCGTCAGAATCAGGCCGTATTGCAAACTCAACTCCCCAATCGATTAGAAAGAGGACTAGTGACTTGAAGGAGCATTCACCTAGTACTATGGTAATATATTTCTGTGCATTTAGGTATATTACCATAGTAATATATAAATTTATATTTATATACATAAAT